AAATATATTAAGTTTTCTGATTAATAATTGTTATAACAATCACAGTTATAGCTTTCGAAGTATATAGCACACCAACTATAGCAAACCAATAATAGATACTTTTTTTATGCGCGTCGCGTTGGTTATATTTATAGGCGTGTGGAGAGTTTCTCGAAATTTCACTTTTACGTAACAATACTGACGCTAACACTAGCGTATACGTACATACATATATTGTTGATTCTTACACTGGAGAATCTTCTACAACGTTAGAGAATAGGCGGGAGTTTCGCAATACATATTTAACAGTATACGCTGTACATATTTCTAAATATAAATTTAATCTGAAGAAGCGTCGACATTAAATTAAATATATAGTAATAAATCCGTCACACAAGATATTTAATAATATAAAACAATAACTAATATTCATATCGATTTATGACGAAATTGCATTGACAGTTTTTGATTATACCTAAAAGGATGTTCGGTAATTAAATTTACATAAAAGAAGGTGGCAATTCTTTTTAAACTTGCCATTTGCCTACGTAATAACATAAGTAACAGGGGAAGATATTTTTAGTCCACTGTTGAATTCCTATTTCGCGATTGGAATAAACCATATGAAGGTGGCCAATTTATATCTCAAAAATGTTAACGTTGAATTACTCATACAAAGGGAATGTTTCCGTTGCTCATACACCTAACACGAATGTCACTAGTGAGTTTGGTAAATTTCTTAAAAGGCCAATGAAAACTACAGCAATTTGCCGGATAATAACACCTGTCTTGTAGATTTAGAGTTTTTTAAACATCTACTCAATAACATAGAAACTAAATTGCCTTAAAGAATAAGTTTGGAAGATATAGTACAGTTAATTTGTCATATTGTATAGTAGAAATAAGTGTATGTGTTCAGTACCTTGTTAAATAGGGGCTCTATTCACGCAGGTGTGCATAATCATATATAGTATCTTGTTTTACAAGGCAATAAATAACGATGCCGTTTCTCCAACCCTAATCACATGTGTGAAGAGATTGAAGTGATGGATTTTATTTTTGTGTTTAGCCTGCTCTAGCATTTACAAGAATAATCAGATACTTTTGTCGTTATTCTCAAATGTTTCGAATAAATAAGAATAGCTGGAAGCGTTGAAAAAAAGACACAAAATAACAAAGAAGGAAAAGAGCATTTAGCGTAACCATTCGTTTTCCTCTGTCGATCTCTGGTCTCAAGTTACTCAGGGGCCAAAGGGAATCATTACCTAATGGATAGATCTAAATTGCTATATTAAGTAGCGGGTCTAACGGTGGTTAGCTGCACTCCTGTGACGGCCGCGTCTGTCGGTGGTACAGTTGAAATCAGCCGAAGCAAAGAGCGGAAGGTTGTTTATCATAAGTGGTTCTCTTTCTGCTGTAATCGTAGGTCTACAAAAGATATATTATGTAATTAGCCAAACTTGATCCGCCTGGCAACGCTAATAGTTGTGAGAGGGCACCCCTCGTCCACATTAGGTACTCTCAGAGTCAAAGGTCACCACATTCCCCGTGCCCAGGGGTTAGAAGTATAGAAAGATATTTCAAAGTGTGTAAACTTGCCTTTCTTTTCTGTTGATAACACATGTAGGGACATTTCTCTTTTTGCTTATCTGTCTCTTTGGTTATGAAATTCGACGAAAACTTTATGAGTATTGCAAAACCTTTTATGTCGTTAGCCATGAAGTTGTGAATATGATATAGCAAAACCAAAATCAAAACTACAGGCTTTAAAATTCACTGTACATGGGCGTTCATTTATATCAACTATTATTTTTAAAAACCAATACAGCTTAAAAGAATTCATAATAAGCTTCTCATGAAATACATTTGTAATTCCTACATGATTTTAACCACAAAATCCTTTCTGTGCGTACTTTTACGCACTCCATTAAAGTTTCTATTCTTAATCCCTACCTATCTCTTCAACCGCATATAAGCAACGCTTGTTCTATTCGGAAATCCAACCCGTGGTGTTGAGAGTGAAGATAGCCCATTGTGTAACTTTGCACTAAAAATAAAACATGAAATAAAATTAAACAGATGGATTTATACATCAATCTTACGAATTATGGAAACTTAAGAACAAATGTGATACCAATTTTAGTTTTTGTGTGTTGTACGATTAAATGTTTGTTATCTAATTACATGTTATATGCATTACATCAAAGTGAGAATGGTCTCTCTGCCATGTGTTTATAGGAATTTCACACTATGGATAGATTACGTACATTGTAAAGACATTTAACCCACTAGCCAGCATACCACTCATAGGAACTTCTTTCATACACCAAATCCTCGATGCGTAAGTAATTAATGCTATCAGCTTACAAAATAAAAGCTATTAACTTCTCTTACTTCAACTTCTATAAACAATTCCAAAACAATATAACTTGAAATTTAGTGCTAATAGAGTTAGCATTTGCTAAATATATCAATACTAAAAATAATACGTTTAAAGATTAAAATGGATTACTGTTGATGTAGTACAAGAATTGTATCTGAATTACATGGAAAGTATATAAACAGCATGTGTTATGTTGGGGTGTTACAACTGTTATCAGATTATATTGTTGACTCAGGTTTAATAGGGAGTGAACTATTTGAGATAATAGCTTATACACTACAACTCCTGCGGTTTAGAAATAGAAACTCATTCGTTATGATAACACACAAAGAAGACTTTGGTATGAACTTTAAAACATTCTTGTCATGAAAATTCACCAAACTGTCTTCAACATGAAGTTTAACCTCTGTCCTTATATACAGAAATTTATCAGACAGTGGAAGTCAATGCAGTGAACCTATGCACGCCTCCTAGTTCCATTAACGTAATAATAACAAGTATTTGAAGCTGACGAAGGTTTAGGCTTTTAGCCAAACCACGAAATCGATTACTTTTTCCATGAGAGCCGTAAAAATTGTAATCTCATTTGATCACATATTTGTCGACTTTACCGACACAGCTTCAATGGCCTTTTTTTACTGTACTGCTTATATGTAAATTGGCACCCACAGTGGCGCATTAGTCAAGTTGACTGGTCTAAGATTGATCGCACAGAAGTTTGTTGCGGTATCGGGCAATAGTGTGTAATTTTGGCCAGCGGACTGAACACGATCTACGATGAAGAAAGTAGTTCCATAAAGACAGAATGGAACCTGGAATATCATTTTTATAAAGGTCGATTAGCCCTTAGTATATATATATATGAAATTATGCTTTTTTATTAATGTTTTTACATACAAATATAAAATCTGCTATAAAGATGGTTTATCTAAAAGAAAGATTTTTTCTTTGTTTTTGTCCCTCTTTTCTTTATCAGCTAAAAAATAAAAAATGAATTTGTTGGATTAATTTCAAATATCGTACGAAAATTTTGCTGTGATGTCTCGTATCTTAACTAGAAATGGTCAAGAATCAAATATTGTACTCTACTCTCTGTAAGAAAAAAAACCAAAATTAATGGCTTTTTACATATTTTGATAAAATCTTGAAACGTGATTATATAACTTGAGTTTTTTATATAGCAAAAATAATACATTGATACTCGGTGCTAGAGTCGAATGAACTTAATAAAAATTCAAATTACTCAGTTTCGATAGTACATTATTTAATTTTTATTTAGCGAAGTAAACATAACTAATGAGCTATTCAAACACGATATACGTACATTTCTTTCAAGAAACAAATCTTTCATTTTCACCTGAAAACGTCTCTTCAAAACAAATTTTACCAGTACTGTCTGTCACACATGCCTTTTAAGGTTGTGAAACAATAACGAAATTAATATATGAACCTGATGATCACAATTAAGGGATTTTAAAGCAATATAAGTTATTTCAGATGCGTTAGCAACAGAGATCTTACCAAGAATATGAAAGTTCGACGTCTAATTTACCTAAGCACTTGAGAGATACCTATATAATTAAAAGAGTGACATGTTTGCGTGCGTGTAAGCTTTCTAAACTTCATTAAACTATGCAAAAATAAAATTAGGACGAACAACATCACCATATACGTAAGAGAGGGTTGGTGTAAATAGTACTATGAATTGTAAAGGGAAAGGTATTTGGAAAATGTTTATGTCGTCTCTCAGAGCACCATTTCAGACAGCAGTGTTTATGTGTTAAGTTTTTGTTTGTGAGTTTTTTTATTTGTTTACAGACACTAAGATTACTGTTTCCGTCATTCTCTTGAATTTTAATACTTGCTCCCGATACCCAGGTTTTCAAAACGTTGCTTGATCTGGTGTCTCTCACTGGATCGGTTTGTCACTTTCAATCACACCATTCGGTTCCAAGTGTCATTTGTACTAGAAGTGTTTCGCTGGTATCACTTGTTGTGGAATAGGTTTAACCCACTTAAGTTTAACCTCGTACTCATTGAAACGCCCCGCACGGCCGTCAGGTTCGTTCAAAACTATAGTACCTAACTTTCGTACGTGAGTAGTCTAGACAGATCACTTAACTGTTTCAATTACTTTCAAAAGACATTTTATACACTTAATGCATTCAAATACCATATACATAGGTAAAGCACAAGTTGTTGTTTTTTCCTAAAGAATAATTATACTCTGTTTTTTGTTTTTGTCACTTGCATTAAAATTGGTTTTTGATTAGACTTGATCTACATAGTTTGGAAATGTAAATCTGTCTGTTGAAAAACAAGCATTTTTATTCTCAATTTATTAAAAAGTGTCTGTTGTTGTTTCTTTCATTAGATTTCAACCTACGACGGTTTTCAGGAATGGGCAGACGGCCACTGTCGTTTTGTGTACCGGCCGGATTGCGAGGAAGCCCGGCGACACTCCAGTGGCTGGGCGATGAGAAACACCAATAACCATAACGTCCACATTCTCAAGAAGTCCTGCCTCGGGGTTCTACTTTGTAGTCTACGGTGTACTTTAGATTCTGGAGAAAAAGTGACTCTCAGGCCTGCCATCTGTGATAAAGCCAGGAAAAAACAACAAGGTAAGAATGATTTAGTAGTGATATACATATTCTGTTTTTTATCACAAAACATTAAGATAAACCAAAGCAACAAAATCCATGTTTTTGCCTTTATACGGGACTCACTCTTATTATAAAGTAAGATAAAAAATAGCAGATGCATAAAAATATACAGATCTACTTTTGCGAAAAATAAAAATAACATATTTTATCTAGGGGAAATTATTCACGTGTTCTGAGTCTTACTTGACTTGACTCTCTCTCTCTCGCTATGCACAAAACAACTCTGAAACTTTCTATACATACTTCTTAGCATTGTAATATATGGCTAAATTTATTATATTTTATTATAAAAGTGAAAATGAATCTGAGCGGAAAATCATTGTTTGTATACAAATAATCATTAAAGGGTTTTGAGATAGTAAGTTAATATGTAGTATATCATTTTGGATAGTAGTTGGCAGTGTGGTGGTATTGTGGTTACGACTGTCTTTAGCTCGGCTCTGTGTAATATTTGCGTATAAATAAATTTGCCTGGTGGTTAGGGCGCTCGACTCGCAATCAGAGGGTCGTGGGTTCGAATCCCCGTCCCACTAAACATGCTCGCCCTTTCAGCCGTGGGGGCGTTATAATGTAACGGTCAATCCCACTATTCGTTGATAAAAGAGTAGCTCAAGAGTTGGCGGTGGGTGGTGATGACTAGCTTCCTTCCCTCTAGTCTTACACTGCTAAATTAGGGACGGCTAGCGCAGATAGCCCTCATGTAGGTTTGCGCGAAATTCAAAACAAACAAACAATAGGTGAGCGTTAAGTTTACAAACTTAAAACGCTAAAAACTTGGATCAGATTCCCCGTGGTGGACATAATAGAGATAGCCTATTGTGTGTCATTGCACTATAACAAAACAAACAAGCCGTAAAAGTAAACAAACTGTTGTGTATATGTACGGAACCTCACACCGTAGGAACGTTATTGGTCAAACTTTCAATTTAACGTATCAAGTATTCTTTCAGGAAAACCAAAACGAAATATACAAATTGTATTTTATCCACACATTATAAATAATTCTGTACAGTTTTGCAATATATAATAGACACTAAAGTACAGTAATTTGGTTTACAGTTTATTAAAATGTACGTTTTCTTGTACGCCTGCTGTTTATCATCACCTAAACAAATTTGCTATAATAAATTATATAAGCGATTTACTGCCTATACTGTACAGCTTGCCTTTTATAAGCCAGTCACTCGCACATCCCTCTTATCACAAGAACTGTAGCGTCAATGACATCATCTGCTTACCTTACATAAACCACCTCCTCTTTTTCTGCTTCCACACTCGAACCATGTTCATGTTCATATAACACTCTTATTCGGCTTTTGACACATACGTAGATCAAACCTTAAATTAAAAAAATCGATCTCTATAGCAGTAGACTTATCTGTTTCTCAATTTTCACTTTCTCTCTCTCTCATAGATATAGATAATCGAGTACAGAGATCAAGACGAATGCGTGTAGAGTAGCAGAGGTTATCCTAAGGTTCTTCCTTTTCATTTTTGTTGATCGACTTGCTTAGTTACAGATTTTGAGTTGATTCGCTACTTTTATGAAACTTAAGAGAAAGCTATCGATTGTTGTCAAAAGTTATTGACAATTTCACGGGAGCCTGTAGATTCTGTGATTTCCGTTGATAAGAGCTGTCTCAACTTATGACTTATGTCACAGAAACATGTCTGAGTGTAAGGCATCGGTTGTCCCAAACTTGGCTGAGTGTAAGACTTCCTAAGCATAAAGCACTATAACAAGAGGTTACATTTCCCCCAAACCTCCGTCAGATTAAAAAAATGACAGCATAACCTACTAACATGACACACACACCATGTAGACATTTCCTTTTGGTAAAAACATTGTTGTGTGTGAAGAAAGTTTCACCCCTGATTGTTTCAACATTGATTATGAGCTACGTTTATGTGTATAAAACCTCAACAATACCTTGTAAATGGGGCAATGCCAAACGTTTCAAGCACAGTCCCTTTCCACTACACAAAAAAAAAGTGAACAACTGGAGAAAAAAGAGGTAAAAAAAAGTATTTTAGACTATTATTATAGTGAAAACGTTTGAAATGCTTTTATGCATTTAAAGGCCCATATAAGACCATAATTTCGTTTTATTCCAATGGCCAAGATGCATTCAATCTTTTGAATTTCAGAAAAAAGACTATTGTGCTACCTCGAGATAATTAAACAATAATATCAATTTTTATTCCTCGGTATTTTTTAAACAACGCCACATCCCCTTGCCTTTAAATTCATACGCGGAGAAATAGTTGAGTAGGCTATCAACGTTTGTACGTCACGAGCCGGAGCACAACCTAACTTGTGTGGTATTTTTTCATGAAACATGCGACGATAAATACTCCAACATTTATTATCTGTGTTTATGGTTATTATTACATAATTATATACGCTAACAACACATATAATTAAGCAGACATAACACTTTCACATATAGTGAAAATATATCAGAGCTGGAGTTTTCCTTTGATTTTTCTCGATTTGACATGGATCGTGGAATACTCGCACTTCGCTTTCCCTTCTTACGTCCATCAACTTTATTTATATTGTACTTATTTCTATTATGAGTTGATTGATAGCAATATAAACATAACAACTTGCTGTTTATTACTGATAATTAATACCTCATAGATCTCAGCATATTAATTTCTTACTTCGCCTCTCAAAGTTTGTTCCTTCTCCCTCACTTTTAGTCTTCTCCTCCTTTCTTTAGTTGAACTCTTGTATTTTATATTCCTTTCTCAAACCCATGCCGAACAGGTCCCCTTCTTTCTGACCTTGCACCTGTTTCCTGTATATCGGATTATAAAGTTTCACAACCACAGGGGGTCTTGTAGTCTCTGCTGAACTTAGAAAGGCGGCCACTCACTTCAATCATTTTTTAATGATTTAGGGTACTGTAGTCCTTTAACTTTTTAGAGACTGAACAGAATTCGGTAGGTTTCTCACATGTCTCAACCCCAACCGATGTTTCTTTCAAATTGCTAAACATCGGATAGACATTTGGATAAAGATACCTTTTATAGAAGATATTTTGATTTTTATCCAGTAAACAGTAGTGTTATGTTGTAATCTTGAGGTAAAACTTTTTATTGTTAAGCACTGTAACACAAAGTTTATTTGCCCATGTGATTAAAATTCTGCTCCATGACTATTGTAAAATCAGGTAAATCTGAACAGCGATAGACCAATAACTCTGGCAATACATTCACAGTTTAAAATTAAAGGGAATCATCAATCATTACATTCTTTTTTCTACAAGTATGTTGGAAAAAATACGAAATATATAACTAGCCGCACAAAAACAAGCTATCACAATTCATCATTACCTGGCTTTTACTTAAAGCTTATCTAAGTGTATAGAGGAAGGCCAACAAAATACTTAATGTTGTTCTGACAAAACTTTTTATATTACGCTTCGTAAAAAATGTGAAAAGAAATAAAGGGCTTTGGACACTATAGGTTTTAATAGTTATAAAAAGTGCCCACAGATTATTACTTTAATTTGATAGCATCACCAAATTCTAATGCGAGTCATATGCACTAAGGTAATAAATATTACTAACACACATATATATATATATATATTAGCTATTTTGAGATCTTTCTATGAAACACGCCACTTTAAGAGTTTGTTTGTAATTAAGCACAATGGGCTATTTGTGCTCTGCCCACCACGGGTATCGAAACCCGGTTTCTAGCGTCGTAAGTCCGCAGACATACCGCTGTGCCACTGGGGGCCACTTTAAGAGACTATGCAAGCAGCATGATATATTTTGCTTTATTCTAAACAGGCATATACGAATAGGTTGAAAATCACCAAAAACTTGTTATATAGTTATTTCTAGAGGATAACGTTCGAGCTAGTGTTCTTCATCAGATCTGTGCGGACACAATTTTAAAGAAGACATGTGCAACAGTACTGATACCTGGTGTTTATGATAATATGATATCTCATATTACTAGGTTCTATCGAGATATTTTTATATATCGCGTCGAATTTGAACCCGAGACCTGTACATAGCAGGCAAGTGGTCTACCAAATGAGTAATAGGAGCGCCCCTAGCGCTTGATTGTAAAGCACTTTTTTAACAACTCAGACTGCAACACTATTTTGGCAATTTAATCAAATTTATTGACAAACAGCTTTATGGGGTTTCAAAACGATTCTGATAAAATGCAAAAATAATTGCTTTATTACTCCAGTCAGTTAAGTAATCTCTGTTGAGAATTCCAGTCAGATATTGCCTACTTTGGATAAAATATTACTGTAAGTTGCTTTTGTAATAACATACTCCAACAAAATATAAGTGCAAAAATTACTTAATATTACATTCTTAAAATTATTCCTATTTGAATCTTAGAAGTAGGGTGTCGTTCTTTGAAAAAATATTACCCATCATCCTCTGATTTATATGAAGAACATAATATACAAAAGAAATATGGCAGTTCAATATTATGTATATCCCGGGATGCAACTAAATACTTTGACTCTCCAAATGAACACTATATCAGTTGAGGTTAAAATACTTATCTCGTAAATATTATTAGTAAAGCACTTCTTTTAACAATCCAATCTGCCTGGCTACTAGACAGTGATATTAGACCTTCGATTATTGTCTATATTGAAACTAGCATAGATGTCTTTAATATTGTCATTCTATCGTAACCAGTTTTCAGAAAATTAGTTTTAAATTTGATTTGAGATGAAAGCATATATTATCAATTACAACTGTAAAATTGCATATCATGTAATATTATTGTTTCATTTATATCATGTTACAGGTAAACCTTGCCCTAACAGAAAATGTACCGGTCGTCTGGAAGTTTTGCCTTGCAGAGGGCACTGTGGTTACCCTGTTACCCATTTTTGGCGACACACAGATAATGCCATCTTTTTTCAAGCTAAGGGTATCCACGACCACCCGAAACCGGAACCTAAGGCGACAGCCGAGGCTAGAAGATCTCTCCATGGAGGCATTAAACGGCCGAGAAGCAGTACCAGCGCAACGGGAGAGCAAAGAATCAGATTAAACGGACAGGCCGTGTACAGTGGAAAGGTAAGAATAACGTCACCAAGTGAAAAGAACAACTTTCTTAAACAACACTTCTTCAACTCATAACATCGTGATTTATGACCATCATTATAAATAATTCTGAGTTGGATAAATCTGAGTTTTTTTAAAATAGGAACTTTAATATAGGGTAACACCTGAAGCGGCAAGCAATACAAATTCAATCTACACAACTACACAAAAACGAAATCTTAATTTTTACATTCACTATTTTTACTTCATGGGACCCGAGGTTCCTGATATTTTAGATGGTTAAACTTAAGTTTGACCTTCGACATTTCAAAAGAAAATTCACATCCAGTCAGTTAAAAATTGTAATGTCAGGAATTTGTATTTTGTATTTATGGTAAAGCTACTAAAAAAAAGGCTATCTGCCGCCTTCCCTAATTTTAAACTACTGACCAAGGGAAGGCAGCCAGTCAGCAACACCTTACCATCCACGATAAGGAATTGACTGTCACTCTCGTGACAGTTTAAAGAGGTGTAATATTTTGTGATATCGCGCGGATTCAAAATCCATACTTCTGCCACAAAGCCAGTTTGCGCCCTCTAATACTAGGAATTGTAAGATCACGAAATCATTTATGAAAACTTAATCAAATCGATCAGACATTTTCCAAGCAAAGTAATGAACCATAAGCTCATATAGGCTTATTCCGAAAAGACGTTTACAAAGTTGAGTTGTGATATGTTTCTATGAATCGCGAAGGCACTGATTTGTGAAATTTTGTTTGAAACTGAATATTGGTAGTTAAGGGTATCAACCATTATAATATATACGAATTCTATTTTTTTACATACTAACAAATATGACCAAAACCATATTAGAATGTTAAGTACAAAAGGCTTTTCCTGCCAACACTTGGGTAGTTACCAGCATTACAAATACATTTTGCGTTCTTGATTTAAAATAAATCTTCTGCGTTTTGTATTCAGAACCAGCTAACATGATTCAAGTAATAAGTAAACCTTCGATTTAAACGCTAACTATTTATTTTCTTATCGAGTAAAACATTTATAAATTTAATATTGGTAATATAGAACTACTAAGCAAGAGAGTATATTAAGAATTTGTCTTTGAAATTCCAAGGTCAGATATTTTTATATCTTTTTTTTAGTTTTCGAATATATCTATCTAGCTTTTCATGCAAAATTTGACCGAATGAGATCCATTGTTGGGAAATCTGTTTGTGTCTCTGACTTATTTACTCAAATTTTGATGTTACTATTAATAATGGTCTGTACCACATCAAATACTTACTTTTTAAGGTGTGGTTTCTTAATGTTCCAAGAACGTTTTACACAAATCGCTGGAATTCAATTCACGGGGACGTAAAAAAAAAAGGACCACAGGTCATACACAGATTAAGGTGTACCTACGGAACGGCAACAATACTTTTAACGAAGTGAAAATTTAGAGGAAAGACTAGCATGTTATACATATACATTTCAAGAATGCAAAAATCTTTCATTAGAGGATTCTATAGTCATGTGATGTACCTACGGTTTTGTTTAGCTAATAGGCTAAAAGGAGTGGTTCTGTATGAACGAAATTACATTGACGAATAGAGGGATCAATCAAATTCAACCACTGTAAAGACGTGTTTAGAACATGAAACGTTTAATACTCATCCACTTATACATAATTTTTGAAAAACAACATTATATTTTGCAAATTACCGTTTTTGTTTTTTACTTACAAAGGAAATTGGCTGTTTTGCCCGCCTTTTTCCAGTTCGGAGAGAGAACGAATTGGAGACGGATTAACATGCTTATGCAGGGAACAAACGAAAGCAGGCGTTAAATGATCTTGTCCCCCCAGCTCTTGGTATAAAATTGGCCTAATGATAGCTTTATGCCATAACGATAAGTACAATTTGCGACTATTAGCGTCTCGGATCCCCTTAAAGTCCTGCGGCTTCCCGGCAGCCTTATCGGCAATGGCGTGGTAGAATATATTTGTATGCACAGCATAATAATAACTATAGTTGTCTGGGTGATCCCTTTGCTATTTAAGTATCTTTTTTTTTCGTCCGTAAACACAGAGGGAGAATTAATGAAGTGTAACTAAGGAGCTAGATCTATTTAATACTCAAATACATGCACGTCCATTAGCTTGATCGTTTCACCAGCAACTTAGATAATACCAATCCAAGAGTTTAACGGTTTTTGTAATATGGTTTTAATATAGTGCCGACCTTTTACGTAGACAAAGTAATTTACACAGATCATGGTCAACCACATATCTATAATTCATACTTGTATTATAACATGAAATATATGTCAACTTGTTATTGCGAATGAAGTATTGTCACTTTTAAATAGAATTTAATGCCCTGTACATGACAAGGGAAATTTCAACAACCATTACAGATCATCTTCTTTTGTAGCAATATTTGTGGTTTTTACTAAGTAGCGCGCAAGTAATCTACTTTGTGATTAATAATAGTTATCACGGTCAAATCAGCGTGTTTAAAAAATAGCGCGAAAAGAAATAATTAACATTAAACAATTCTTAGAGTTTAGCAATGTGTGTTCATCATTTTATGTTACCCATCGAATAACAGTTGCTTTTTATTTTATTTAAATATAACGATTTTTCGATTAAAATATATTCAATGTATTGAATCCATTATAAAATATACACAATTCAGAATTGGCTCATACAAACTTAATTGTTGAATTGAGTAAGGAGCCCCAACCCGTATAGCAGACGACGACGTTTCCAACTTTTGGCGCAAATAGTTTGATTAACTTTTATTTTAATAGTTTTACATGTTATCTCCAAACTAAAGGCTAAAACTTTTTACACGATACTAAGTAAGACATTATCCTTTAAAGAAAGCTTCTTTTAAATGATATCTGGGGATGTGCTAACTAATCTAGCAACTTTCATACCAATAACCATGTTCACTTAATGAAAAAGGTATTTTTGAAGTAGGAAAAGAACATAAAAACAGTTTGTTTAGAGTATCACCTTTGGCAAATTGAGCACTCATAGTCATTCAAAAACAAAACACTTTTTCATTCACTTTATGGTAAAAATAAGAAATATGTATACTTTATAATTTAAATTCATAATACTTTTCAAAGGGGCGCTGTGACAGCACTTTTGCTATCTGCATTTGGCACTTTTAAGCCAGTTATTGAAAATACTTAGCAGGAACAAAATATCTTAAGGCTTATATCATATTTTAACGATAATGAAATATCTCAAAAGAGTAATTAGGTTCACTCCATTTTCTCTCTCTCTCTCTTTCGTCCATTCAGGGTTCAATTTCTGTAAACAGACAACTGTGTAGCTTTGCGTCAGAAACGAACAACTTTCTCTCTGTTTCATAAAGGTTTATATTTTCAAAAACTTCAAAAATTAGTGATCATCATATGTTAGTGCATTTGCAAATTAATGTAATAGTCTTCAGTTGTTTTTGATGTTAGGTTTCATCTTTATATTAGCTTAGTAAACAGAGAATAAACCAATGCGAAATATTAGGTTATATTTGTAAAACTCATAATGTAGAAACAACAAAATTTTAAATTTTCGAATAAAATGTTGAAATTACTAAAAGTATTTCTCGTGGTTTTAGGACGCTTGTTTAAACTCTGCTTACTCAGAGAATTAACCTTTAACGTCAAGCCCCAAGATAGATTTCAATAATTAATTAGAAGCCCGTACTATGCGTGGCATAATAATCAAATGTATAAAATTGCTGCCCTTCGAATAACAATTCTTACCATTGGTGCAACATTATGTAAGTTGCGATAGAAAAAGAAGAAAATATACATTGATTATTATTTTATTTTTTGTTTTTAATTCAATTTATGAATAACATTACTAAAGTAGTTCCACCTCGTTCAGTGGAGTAAAAGACCTAACTAGAAACTTTTTCTGTGGACTATTTACACCTCATTCTAAAACTATATAATTTTCAGTGATTGATAAAAACAAACTGAATCAACAAACTGTTAAAAAGATTACAATTATGAGTACACTTTTATAGCTAATCTATGATATATGTGAGTAGATGTATAGTTCGAACACTTGAGAAATTTAATTAGTTAATAAGCTTTATGGAGGATGTGTTCACACGTAAAATAACAATTAGTTGAATAACACCCCAACTCAAAAGACAGAAACAAAAAAAATGTCATTTGATATATTTCTGATGAGATTATAATTTCTTAAAAATCTACTTAAAAGTAAAAGACCATTAAAACAACAGATAGTGCCACCCAATTCATTGTGAAGGTTGTTTGATTTTTGCTTTGTCTTTAGGTCTACTCAAGCCAAAACTAATAATATAGTTCTGGGCTAAAACTGTAGTGTTATTTCAAATTTCATTGAAACGCGTACACTAATCTAAAATGCCACCGTCCTGTCGCATGACCTTGGTTTTTAGTTTACCAGGAGCTGATATTTGATTGTCATTTCTTCACGGGCTAGTTTTAGTCAAAATTTGTTCATTAAAATTGTTTGTTTGTTTGAAGTTAAGCACAAAGCTACATAATGGGCTATCTATGCTCTGCCCACCACGGGTATCGAAACCCGGTTTCTATCGTTGTAAGTCCGCAGATATACCGCTGTGCCATTTGGGGGCGTTCATTAAGTTAAAGTGTCACTGTTCTTTTACTGTGACTTAGGATTTTATTTGACAAAAAAAGCAAATTTCATCAAGACTTCTTTTACCACTAAATGTCATCGAATTTTTTCGCCCCTCAGTGGCTCATCAGTATGTCTACGGACTTACAAAGCTAGAAACCGGGTTTCGGTACCCGTGGTGGACAGAGCACAGATAGCTCATTGTGTAGCTTTGTGCTTAACTTCAAATAAATCGAAATAATTCCATTAAGTTACGTAGTGTTAAAGTCACATCCAATGTCTTACAGTGATGTTTTTATAAATTTCTCACGAAATATACTATTAAGTTAAAGTAATAATGTCCCCTCACGTAGATTTGGCTATTTCTAATGAAGAATTAACAATTTAACAGTGAGTTCTTCATCCATTGTCTGCGAAATTTGACCATTCAGTTTAGGAACCATTGTCATTTAACTTGGTTTTGCCTATTTATTATAAAAAGACTAACATTCTGGCGTCATTTCTTTGTTAATTTCCAATAACATCCGTCCATCAATATGTATTTAAGATTATTTGATCATATAGAGATGTGATCCAAACTATTATGTCTTAGTTGAAAAAAAAAATCTTCCTTTTAAAATCTGTTTTATAGCTTATTCTAAATGTGACGTAATTAGGAGCTCTTAGTGAACTATTTGGGCATTGTATGCTTTCCGAAGTAATTGGATATACTTATTTCGGATGGCATTTTAATGCTAGGAGCCCATCTCTAATAATCAGTGTAGACGCTTGACAAGGTGTATGATAAGAATACGTTAAGTGAGATATATTTAAATATCCCACCCATAGAACATTTTACTCATTTTATTTTGATAAAATGTAAGACAGGTGAACTAATGTAAATATTTTAGCATCTATAGTATATAACATTGTTCAGGTAAAAGAGAGACTAATTAAACTTACAGTCACCACGTCACCTCGTTCACTTTCGTCTTAGTACTGAAAAATACAGAACAAAAAGAAGAATAAAAATTTAGATAATAAATCGAAACTTAAAAAAATACGGAGAATTCTATAAAGATTTCCAAAGGAGTATAGTATGCAAAAAAAAAAGTCAAAATCGTCGTGTCATTAATTAAAATGTCTATTGCGGTACTTTTATATCACAGCTGATTTTATTGATTTCATACCTCTATAACTGTGGAACAGAAATATCACATTATGGCCCTCCTTACTTTTGTCTAATAAGTAGTTGTTAGCGAACTCTTAAAACAAATTCCAGTTCCGTTTACAATTACACATGTACAAACACTAAAGCTCAGGGCAAAATAAAACAGACTGTAAAAATATTACAACGGGCCAGTTTAAGTATCGGCTTAAGCTCAGTAATTCTGACTTTTGCTCGCCTTTCTGCGTTTCTCTTTATCTTGTCCTGTTTGGACCTTTGTTTCAAATAACTATTATTTGGAGAACACGGTTATCACGCGGATTTTAACAAGTGAGGGGGAGAAATCGCGGCGTCGCGACAAATTACGATTTACATTACTGCGATGTTTGCTTTGCTTAGATGAAATCACAGGTTTTGACGCTATTAAACGTCCGGTGGATCTCTCTTTCCTTATCGTCATGCCATTCATGATTCTGCCAGGGAGCAGCCACCACCGCACAAGGTCTGATAATCAGCGCATGCCCTTCCTGTACAAACTGTATCATTAATAAAGCGTATTACCTTCCTTAGAAAAAGACAAGGAAACTTAAAATGTGGACTAAAAGCCTCGAAGTTAAAAGTTCATGATATGACTCACTGGTGCTTATCGTTACGTCAAAGAATTCTAATAAGGAAATATTTCCATGCTGAGAAAATCAATTTAGACATAAGCCTGTAAAATATAGTTTTAATAAAACTAAAAGCATGGTCTACTCACAGAAGAGAAATTCAATCATAATTGGGCCAGTAAGATACTTCTTTAGCAAATACCCAAATTAATGATTATAATCAGAGTCAATTGAAATATCAAGACAGTTAGTAATGTGCATTTATTAAACTTTCATTACCTCTAAGACAAATAACGAACTTTACCTGCGGTGTATAGACTGATTGCTTTATAACCAATAACCTATAACTGGTAAGAATTAAGTAACCCATAATTAAAATAACACTTAAATAACGTATCTTAAGAGGTTTCAC